TGCGCTGGGATTACTTTAAGTGGATGCACTCGCTTGCTTTTCACTAATAAAGAACTTTGTTGCACAGCGCAATAGTATTCAAAACTTTTAAATGACCACCGTATAGCTTATATTATTAAAGTCTCTACTTCCAACTTAAGCGCAAATATATACCTTGTCAAGTATAATCTGAGGTTCGTTAGCAGTAAATATTGTTATAAACAGACATCACGATTGCCTTCGATCCTGAACTATGGGTAGTTCACGAGTTTTACGAGTCATTTTTTTAGGTTATTACAAAACGCACCATAATGCACATTCCGAATTTATTCATTTATATTATTTCACGTCTATAAAGTCAAAGCCTACACACTTTTTGAAGATTTCCGAGACCTTAACATCTGACAAATGACATAAAAACGGTCTGAAATTGATATTAACTAGAATAGAGCCACGGTGACTTAGATGCTAAGACATTGGCCTCGAGATCAGAAGGGTGCAACAGTGGTGTAGTGCTAAATAAAGAAGTGACAAAACAGAAGGGTGCAAGCAGTAGTGTAGTGCTAAATAAAAAAAGTGACAAAACACAATAAAGAAGCGTGAGAACTTGTGTTTCTCAGTCGCAATTAGGATGGGGGCAGTGGCTAGTGTTACAATGGGGAAAGGAGCTCGTCCAAAAAAAAGAGACAGAAACGCCGTTCTCACGCTTTATCAATGCACTACACCCCTGGATACAGGTTCATTTATCGCCATCTGATCAGTTCAAATAGGTCATTGGGCAAGGTACTTGACTCTACCTATAACACACGATATAAATAAAGTTAGAGGGTTGCTCTGCCGGAAGATACTCAACCGAAGAAAATGTTAAATATCAATTCACCTTAAGCGCCCAACCATTCCACCTGACTGCTTCTGTCAATTCAATTGACAACCGGTGCCTCCTTACTTCTTCCTTTCTCCATTTAACTGTAATAAATACTAAAGCGATAATTCCTGTGTGTGTGTGTGTGTGTGTGTGTGTGTGTGTGTGTGTGTGTGTGTGTTTCTTTCGCCATTACGATTCACAAGAATCTGATTGGCTAGGCCCTTATGAATTTTTCTGGTTCATACCTATGAACGCAATTTTTTAAGACACGCCCACCTGCACTATGTTTCTGTATATATTCTTAATGAATCAGGACTATACTTAGACTATAGGATCACTCAAAGTCAGATTTTGAACTTAAGATTTTAATTATGAAGAAATGATGGACCGTTATTTAAATAAATGAGATCTCTTTGTTAATCGTGGAAGTAAAATACACTTTAAGTGATTAAATTAACATCGTCTGCTTATATACCTTGACGTGAAGACATGACGGTATCCTGTGAAATACATCATTGTATGTATGCAATAATGTTGTGATATGAAATCTGTCTGTCGTTAAGGTATGAAAATTAGAATAAAATAAAATAAATGGAGAAGAAAAGAGGGTACAAAATAGGGGTCGCCACATTAGTACTACGCTTTAGCCAACTATACAACCATTTACCAGATGTGTTATTAGATAATATTTGACTGCCATCATTGTCTTTTACAGAGTTTGTGTATACATTGTTATTCAAGGATTGACTGTTTATTTTGAAACAAATCAGACATAGGTAAAACACATGTTAGCATCTAACATCTTCCAATTTATCAGAAAAATGCATTGATGCCATTCTTTGAGCTTTTATCTTATTGGTTCTGTGTGTGCATATGTATATAATGAAATTCCCTGCACCGTATTGCCTGAAATTATAAATCTGATTTAATGAAAGATTGTTGTTAAAGTATAAGTTTATTAAACAATTTATGCTGTTGAATTTATTTGTAAGGATTGACTGTTTATTTTTAAAAAATTAAAATAAGTATGAACGGAGAAAACGCCGAACAAACTTTTTGTATGATTTGTGTTTTTTTTCGATTAATGTCTCGGTTAATTTAAAAAAAATAAAACGTCTTTAATTATCTATATTTCATAATCATATAAAAATTGTGAACAAAATGAGATACGGTATCGATAGGTTTGTTTGTTAGTATTTCAGCAGCATCGCATTAGAACTCAGAAAAAAAAAACGAACGATACGAAATGCATTAATAAAGAAATACAATATATACGGTAATTTTTTTTTATTTTTTATTATTATTATTATTATTATTATTATTATTATTATTATTATTATTATTATTATTATTATTATTGAACGCAGACATCGATGTTCAATGCTGCACAAAACCATGTTTAAGAGAAGAGTAGAGAATGACAATCAACCATACATGTCTTACAGCCTTGACGATCAAGCACGTCGTTTAATGCGCGGTTTTTTTTTTTAAATCAGTAGTTCGTGGCCAGTGTGTCTTAGGTTTGACTGCATGGAAATTCGTTTTATCATTTCAGCCACGATAAGTAGGAGTGTCTCAGTTCTCAGGTAAGTAAATTCTTGGAACGCTTTATTGGCTTTACTAAAAGAAGTAATTTCTCTTTGTTTGCTTTAGTTTCCCCAGTGCACGGAGCAATAAAGTTCATTGGTTATAAGTTTTGTTTTGACCTATCATAATTATGCTTTCCTACATGTGGTTCACAGAGGATTTTTATTTATTTATTTATTTATTTATTTATTTATTTATTTATTTATTTATTTATTTAAATGAGCTGTACATTTGTCATTTGCATAATCTTTGATGTAGGTCTCAACATATTGACAGTATATTGAAATGCGAATACAACTTTCCCTGGAAACGAGTTACTGATATGGAGTGGTAAACATGAAATAAAAAAAAGGCACTTTCATATCATTTGTTACAATGACACACACTTAAACTCACACACGCTCACAAGGAAAATATAATTCCTGATGTTTCACTCTCACTCTTGCACGCTTCGTAATATAAGGACATAATAGCTTACAAAATAATATTTCAGTTGATACATTAGGGTAAAAAGACTAATATAACTTTTAATAAGTTTTAAATGAAGAAAGTAATTGAGAGTTATTGACATTGAATGCAATTGTAAGCTAAGAAAGAGGTTTGGAATTACGGACATTTCAAGGAAACGGGTTCCCGAGAGTAAGCTTAGAAGATGAGAAAATATTTGTGACAGTTGTTGTTCGAGATCGATACAGCCATGATTTACTTTCTGAACCAGACCGTCAATAAGAGATGTTACATATTGGACATATTTGTACTTTTGGCATTCTGTAGCTAGACATCTTTTGAAACATGTGTGTACTTTGGTAATCTTGTGGTCATCCATTCTTTGACACATATTTGTACTTTTGGCATCCTGTAGCTATCCATCTTTTGACACACATTTGTACTTTTGGCATTCTATAGCTATCAATCTTTTGACAAATGTTTGTACGTTTGGCATCCTGTAGCTATCCATCTTTCGACCCATATTTGTATTTTTGGCATCCCATAGATAACCATCGTTTGACAAATACATTTATTTTTGGTATCTTTTAGCTATCAATTTTTGACAAATATTTGTACTTTGGCATCCTGCAGCATTCCATCTTTTGAAACATATTTATATTTTTGGTATCATTTAGTTATCCATCTTTTGACACATATTTGTGTTTTTGTAGCCTATAGCTATCGATCTTTTGACACACCGTTGTATTTTTGGTATTCTGTAGCTGTCCATTCTTTGACATATATTTGAACATCTTTTTTTATCCTGTTACTATCCATCCTTTGACACATTTTTTTTTGACAATCTGTAGCTATACACCTTTTGATATATATTTGTACTTTTGGTAGCCTGTAGCTATCAGCCCTTTGACACATATTAGCATTCTTGATAACTTGTTTCTATTTTGACATATTTTGTACTTTTGGCATCCTTTAACTATTTATCTTTGGACACATATTTGTACTTTGGCATCCTGTATTAATCCATCTTTTAGCATATTCTTGTGTTTTTGGCATCCTGTACTAATCCATATTTTGGCACATTCTTGTGTTTTTGGTAGCCTGTAGCTATCCATCTTTTGACATGACACATTTATACTGAAGACAGGAGTTGGGTCAGCTAGCCAAAAACTGTTCACTGTTTGTAAAGAAATTATGTAATTTTAGAGATATTTCATAATTATGGCAAAGAAAAAATAATGCTGTGTATAAATATCATTAAATAGGTTTTCATATTTTTAAAATGAGGTGTATTGCCGTCTCTGTGTGCGTGCGTGCGTGTGTGTGTGAATCCTACGTTAGCTTTAGCTCAGATTGCATAAAGTTCTATAATATACAGTGGTCGCTATATAAATACATTTTCTGTCAATAACTCAGTTAAAAAAAGAAGTTGTCCTTTCAATGAAATAATTTATTTTTTAAAAATACTTCAGAATTATAATCGCTTGACCTTGAAAGGAATTTTTTAATTCCATATATACTTATGTAAAATTTCAGTTTCTTTGCAATACACTTGGTAGATTCTTAACAAAAATTGGCAATGCTGACGAAGCACATTTCTTGGAGAAACAGGCCAAACTCTTCCAGTCTCTTGATGGTAAATATTAAAGTCGCTTTGTTTGTAGTTGTCGTCGTAGTTGTCGTTAAAGCAGAAGCATTGATAACAGTAGCTATTGTAATATAAGCAACTGACGAATTCTCTGCTCAGTGGCAGCTTTATTTATTCACCCACATCGGAACACCTCATGGTTTTTATACAAAATACTTTGATGGAGTGATACGGCTTAAAAAGATGGGAATCGTGGGAAAGTTGTGTAAAACTCAGCCTTACGCGGCAGTACACAGGGATAAAAAAATCGAAACGAACAGAAACAAAAATCCCTAAGAAAAATTCCACATGTTGAAAGTATCATGATGTCTCAAGGGATCGACCATTTATTTCTGGGGGATGGGGAGATGGCATAATTTATATTTCCAAATAGGATATTTCCTTTCTATACTTACGCGGGTAAGCTCACCCATCGCCTCGCCTATTGGCACTGACATCTATATTATCTAGAGTCTAGACTTTACTATGTGTGCTGACCGCTCCGGTAGCCTTAGAGTTGGTTAGAGCGTCCTCCTCAGATGCGGGAGGTCGTGGGTTCGATCCCCGGTCGAGTCATACCAAAGTCTTATCAAAATGGTACTAACAGCTTCATCGCTAGTTGCGCGCCCATCATTAAGAGGTTAGGGTTAGGACTGGTCGGCCTGGTGTCAGGATAATGTGACTGGGTGGGACATCATGCTCCATGTCTGCGGCATAATGCCCTAGTGCTAGATATCACTATAAACTGCCACACTGCAGCCATCGTAGCGATATGACTGAAAAATTCTAAAGCTACGTTAAAAATCATAATCACATCACATCACATCTTTACCATGTACCATTTACAGTGTCAGTCAGAAGCAAATACACCTATATGTCGACCTAGCAATTAATTCTCATCTGGAATGAGTGTTTAGTCATTCCGGATTCCTAATACAGAAATCAAGGTGTATAGAAATAATTAAAGAGGATTACAAATATATGCCAAATTACAAATATATGCCAAAGAGAACAAAAAGAGAAAATTATGTATTGATAAACTACTTTTAAAAATACTATAGTAAAAAAATACATAAATCCCGTGAATGATCACTGTGAATGGTGTGTAATTTTCACTACAAACAAATTTGCATCTCCATTTCCGCCAAAGAAACTCGGACACTTAACACCTGACATTTCTCTAACGTATATGTAAAGTTTTATTCCCATTATTAAATTAAAGGAAGGAATAAAACTATAATACCATGCAGGATATGTGGCCCCCCCCCAATAAAAAATAATTCAGAAAATTCAGAATAAATATTTTCATTCAGTAAGCAACTGTTACAGGCCTTAAGACTTAAACCTATATACGTTGTAAGTTATAACAATCTTATAACAAAATAAGGAATCGTTCATTTATCAATTAAATTGTTGGTGCTTACATACAAGCACTGTCGAACATGGTCGAAACGGCAGTCTTTTTCACAAGATAAATACAAGGAAAAAGATTGCTTGTGTACTTTAATCAAAACTTCAGCTATTTTGCAGTTTAGCTACAGCTGACCAGAATATGAAAAAGGGGCTTTTCCCGGGGGATTATAAGGTGTATCGCAGGGAGAAATGGCGCGTCCCTTGAGCACTCCCACATTGGGGAAAGGGATGGGGGTCAATAGTCGCCTCACCACAATTTCTATTGTCAGTCAGTTAATGTGAAACTTTGATTTTATACCAACCTTTTTTTTTTGGTAAACGCTGCTACTGAAACTGCCCAAGAGCAAGTTTAATATCAGTTCAATTCACTATAGATTACCGTTTTATACATACTACATGTAACCGGCATAGACTGAAAAGTTCGTTTTTGTTGTCTATTTTTTAAATAAAAGAATAAATGTTAAGATTACTGAAAATTGAGTTGTCTCGAAACACGACCGTGCAAGGGGTATAGAATCTTAATGTTTAGCAGAGCTCCCATTTCATTAAAATCAGATCTCAGTTTTACCTAGGGCTGCAGTGATTTCATTTAAATTGTGCCGTGTTATGGCATGTATGCCAATATCCTGAAATACATGTACTCATTTCATCAGGCAAACATTTTCCCCCCAAATGCCCGATGGGCACATCACTTTGAATACAGGATAGACCTGAACTTAAATTACAGGAACCTCGGGTGTCGAATTAATGTATTTTTTTATCAATGCTACTGCTGGTGTAGATAAAAGATGTGAAATGATTGTTGCATTTTGTGGTCACTTACTCGGCCTTCTGTCTATCTTCCTAACTCACACTTTTAACACTTTTCCCAGGATTTTAAATATCTTTTACGCTGGCAACTGCTAGTCAAGATGTCGAGTCGCTACTATGAGGTCACATCACGAAAGTAACCGATTAGGCGCGGAAATTTTGCATACGAGGTCACGGAAATTCAGCGTCTTGAAGATATGTCAATATTAATTGGCATTACGTCGCAGATAATACTTCAGAATAAGGTGTAACTCTATAACACTTTTATTATTATTATTATTATTATTATTATTATTATTATTATTATTATTATTATTATTATTATTATTATTATTATTATTATTATTATTATTATATATTTATTTTGATTTCTGGTCACCTTTAACAATCATCAAGAAAGTGCAATTTCTTTTTTTCAATAAATGTGGTGGGTGGTGATGCACACTTAGTCCAAGCGCCACAGTCGTCTCAGAACTCGGATCTTTTCCCAAAATGACGTTTCATGATGTTGTCAACGTTACATTATGTATTTTCCTATATGTACACATACATACATACATACATACATACATACATACATACATACATACATACATACATACATACATACATACATACATACATACATACATACATACATACATACATACATACATACATGCATGCATGCATGCATGCATGCATAAATACATACATACACGCATACATTGAAACATACATATATATCCGTACATACAAATTAACATACATTCATACAAACTAACATACATGCATAAATTCAAAGAAATATACGTACATACATACAAACATAAATGTACCTTTAACGAAATGGCTTCCTTTATATATTAAAGATACTACTGATTTAATTAAAAAATTGAAGTCGTTTAAGCAACTTTTCGTAACTTTGGAAAGAAATCTACAAAATAAAGATTTTAAAAGCTCTTTTCGCACCAGTTATAACTTTAGTTTTTAAAGCCAGAATCGAGGCTTTTAAAGCAGTTTACAGCAGTTTCGAAATATATATATATATATATATATATATATATATATATATATATATATATATATATATATATATATATATATATATATTCGAACTGATGCAAAGAGCATAACTTTTTGTAACTTTGCGCACTTTTCTGAACTTTTCGTTATTGTATCGTAGCTTTTCGTAATTTTTCGCATTTATTCTCAACTTTTCATAACTTTATCGCAAGTTTTCGTAACTTTTCGTAACTTTTCGCATTTTAGTCATACCCGTAATAAAATATTTAAGCTGCGTGGAAATTTAAAACAGCACGAGAGGATACATACTGGAGAAAAACTGTTTAAGTGTTAAGTATGTGATAAACTGTTTAATCAGAGTGGACTGCTAAAACAGCACATGAGTGTTCATACTAGAAAAAAAAAACATTCACGTGTGAAGTATGTGATAAAATGTTTAAGCTGAGTGGACATTTAGAACAGCACATGAGGATCCATACTGGAGAAAAACCATTCAAGTGTGCAGCTTGTGGTAAATTGTTTAATCATAGTGGACATTTAAAGCAGCATACAAGGATTCATACTGGAGAAAAACCATTCAAGTGTGCAGTTTGTGGCAAAATGTTTAATCAAAGTGGACTTTTAAAAACTCACATGAGTAATCATACTGGAGTAAAACCATTCAAATGTGAAGTGTGTGATAAAATGTTTAAGCTGAGTGGACTGTTAAAACAGCACATGAGTATTCATACTAGAAAAAAAACATTAAAGTGTGAAGTGTGTGATAAAATGTTTATGCTGAGTGGACATTTAAAACAGCACATGAGGATTCATACTGGAGATAAACCATTCAAGTGTGAAGTGTGTGATAGAATGTTTAATCAGAGTGGACATTTAAAACAGCACATGAAGATTCATACATAAGAAAAATCATTTAAGTAAAATGATGTAAACATGTTTGGCAACTTGATGAGAATAACAAAAATATATTATTTTTATTCCTGTTTCATCAAACTATTTTAAAATAGAAATGCTCATTTAAAAATAAAATATGGGTTCATGTGTGCAAGCAAGGGTGTCATTTACCCATATGGCTATAGTACACAATTAATTGTACTATATGGTCTCTACATTTGTTCCTCAGTACTGAACTTTCCACTGTGTGACAATCAATACAAATCATATGTTAATCTAAAATACCTTCAAAGATGACTTTACGGTTTAGTTCTTGTCAAGGGTTGACCTGCATTTTTTTGAGAGGCTGAATTGTAAACAAAACACCAGGCAACAGAACACAGATTTCACTTCCGGATCATCACCATGACCTTATTACTCAATGTGCACTGTCGCCGAAATACACACAGACAACCACACCATAAGATCACATTTTAAAGAATAATCAATTGCCTTTAAATCCTTACCAAGAATGCCAAAATCTAACTCTAGTATCACCACCAAATTTAGACCGGAAAAAGTGATCTAAAAATAGACTGGGACTACATTCGTGGGTACTGAACCGGATTTTATTAATTGTGTACTGATTCCATATACCTGTATTTGAATCTCTGTAGAGTATGAATTAAAAATTCTCTAACCTTTATTTTATTATTATTTGTGTGTGTATATATATATATATATATATATATATATATATATATATATATATATATATATATATTTTTTTTTTTTGTGACAACATATGGCATGATCATTTGTGTGGTTTGTGTTGGCAACAAGACTATACACTTACTCCACATTTGATTGAATGAGCTTGTTTACCAGAAGTTATTATAGAAATTTAAATGATCATGGTTGGGTATTTATCGCTGTGTAAATTTTGCCTAATCACTCACAAAGTAAAGTCTGAAGAACTTTATGTTAACTTTGTGAGTGATTAGGTAAAATTTAAACATCAATAAATACCCAACCATGATCATTTAATCCTTATAATTCCAATTTCGTTCTTTCTATCATCAAATAATCGTATTCCATCAATAATACATTGAACTGAAGTAGCACATAGTTTCCTTTCATTCACTGCTTTACATCGACCCATAATACATAACATGTACATTTTCACAAGAATAGATTGACTGCTGGCACAGTTACGTTTATTCAGAAACTTAATTCTTTACAACTTAGGCAATGTATACCCATGGTTTGAACACATTTCGTTTATTTACAGCATTCTTAATCAGTTTTAGTCATTCCATGACCTTACATAATAACAGCTGATAAGGACTGAACAAGTGTGCTAAATTAAATTTCCTATCAAACCTAAAATCATTATGGATTTTAACAATGAACAACATGGAAATATGAACAAGATGATGATATCCCTTGCTAAATAAAGGTAATAATGAAATCAA